TAAGATTGTGCTTAAGACGGTCTTAAATATAAGAACTGACTATGAATACCGGCCATATCCCTTATTTTTCAGTGGCCAAACCGGCCAAGCAAACGCATGCGCACTTTTGAGTAGTTACAAGAGAGAGGCAACTATGATTTTCTTTCTTACTTCCTTCCGACATGTTTTTTTATCGGGAAACAAAGGCATTCCCCTTCCATTTATATATGTTCTAAGACTGTGATATCTCCATGACAATGAAGTATCAACATAATATATATATATGTACATACATGTAAAACTGATTACTGTCAATATAAGAGAATTTACTTATCAAAATATTTAATGACATAAAGTATATTTCAAAAGCAATATAATAATAAATTGTGTGATTTTATTTATACCAAGTTACAGTGATTTGAAAAATGTAATAGTATAAATCTAATATATAAATATAATTTAATATGATAAACAATGACCTTATATTTTGACATACGAGTGCAAAATCCTGAAACTGCTTCAATAAATACATTTGTAACTTGGCACAATAACTATCCCTTATTAGCTGTTTCTGCATATTCTCAAGACAAGGGTGGCTTTATAACCATTTATGATGATCAAGGTGAACCTGTGCAGGACATTGAATCACCAGGACATATTGTAGCGCAAGTTACTGCACTCGGATGGCATCCTGAGAGGACATGGTTGGCAGCAGGATGGGAGAGCGGAGAATTACGAGTTAGTATTACAAATACTACAGACTACAGGAAGCAAAAAATTACTTTCTTTTTATTAGTCTGCAATTATTATTTTGATGAATTGTTTTTTTTTAATTATTAAGATAAGTAAAAGTGCAAAATTGTTGTTATAGGTATGGCCAGGAGATACCGGAACACAAGAATTCAGTATAATAGTAACTCCTCATCGAGAATCTATCACAATTCTGCAATGGAGTCAGTATGGTGGCTGCTTAGTATCTGCAGATACTGGTGGATCTATAGTTGGCTGGAAAATAGATTCCAGAGGACAACTTTTCATGACATTCCATCATGAATTGAAAGAGTCTTTCACACAAATTGCATTTAGAACAAATCTCCCAAAACCAGCTATTGATATTAGGTATAATATACATCATTAATACATTTTTACATAAATATGGCAAATTGAAAGATAATTGAGTTTCTATATAGTATAGATTATATTTTTCTAATAATATAAGTTATTTTATTAAACAATATTATTAGAAATTAATATTCCTACAAGTATTAAGTTAAAAAAAAGCTGTTCTAAGTCAAAGCCATATGGTTTGTAAATGGATTAATCCTTATTTATTAATTTAATTTTTTGTATAGTCTGTATATTTTTTTATTTTGAACGATTTATTGTTTGCAGTGGATTGGCAAAGGCAGCAATTGCTGGTGATGAAAGAGCCTTAGATTTATTCAGTTCGTGGCGGCCAAGAACTGCTGCACCAACAATAGTTTCAACTCAACGAGACAATCATGCATTCTACATTGGTACTGCAAATGGCATCATATACTTTGTTGACTCTCAGGGACAGTGTAAGGAAGTTCTTAGTACTGATGGTGCAACATTATACTGCTTACTGTATCATCAGACCAGGGACTCTATCATCATCATGACAGAGGGATTAAATATTGGGCACTTTCAATCAGATACAATTAGCGGAGAGCTCACTGAGTTGACAAAGGTGGTGATTATACTATTAAGTTTTATCACAAATATAAACTTCTCATTTAGCTTAGAATACTAGAATTAATCAAATTATTAATCAATTATTTATTTATTTATTTTTTAACAATATATTTCTATATATCTCATGTTCGGATCAAGCCATTAGATTAGTATTTATTTTTTAATACAACGAGTTTTTCCACCAGAAATTATTCATTTTATTAATGTTTTTGGCTCGGTGACAAATATTCAATTGCTTGCTTGCAACTGTGACATCCATTAGAAAAATGCAAAATATATACACATGCATTTGCATATTCATGGACATGGCATATTCGTTATAATTGTCATCCAATCAGTATTCATTACCATTTAAATTCAAATCTTTAAAAAAAGTATATTTAAAAAAATACATAAATTAAAGGCCATATCTAGAAAACTTGTCTTTTCTATGAAAATGATATCAGAAAAATGCATAAATTGGAAATAGAATTATAAACACATGAAATTTAATTCGATATGAAATTTAATTATTCAGATTAGGGGAGTCAGCTCCAATGACCTTGAAACTTTTTTTGTTGATAACTTTTCAATAAACAAAGAGCGATGGCTAAAACCTTTTGAAGGTTATTCAAGAGAATGGTCTCTCTATAATATATGTCAAAGTTAAGATCATTGGAGCTGACTCCATAGAAGTGAATATATATATAATTACCTTTAATTCTTTTAATAATATAATATATACCATTATGTGTGTATTTTATTAAAATATTTGTGTATATGTATTTGAATATGATTAAAACATGTACACAATTCACATACATACATCACTACAGAAGATATTTTCAAATAAAGGTTTTCTGAAACTATCATATATTTCAATATACAGATAACACAATTAAAGTATATAATTAAAAAGAAACAAGCAATTTAATGTAAACAAACTTAATATTTTTACAATAATTTTCACATATTTTATTGTATTTTAATTATTTAATGTAATATCTGCATATAATTAATATAATTTTCCTTTATTATGGCAATCAAAATATTACTTTTGATTCCCGCAGCAGTGCAGAGATTTTTATATTAAATTTTTTGTTTACTCTTAATTACTTTAATTGTGTTATCTATAGTGATATACATTATGTTTCGACAAAATCTTTATCTTCTCTATCTTGCAGTTATGTAAATATATATGTGAAAATTATGTATACAGGGTGTATCTGAAATGATGCACTAAACTTTAGGAGCATATTCTAGAGGTCAAAATAAGACTTTTTTTCATATGAACATGGGTCCGCAAATGAACCCTCCTCCGAACTAGAGGCCCCTAAAGTTTGGGGAAAAAATTAAAAATTGGCTGTATTTCAGAAAAAAAATGGCAGAAGGTTGAACTATACACCTATTATCCTCTCTTGAGAGATAAATAAATTTGCGTTTCGAGTGTTTGATCAATTTCACACATTTTCGAATTTTAGCTCGGAGGGGGGTTCATTTGCGGACCCATGTTCATAAGAAAAAAAAGTCTTATTTTGACCTCTAGAATACGCTCCTAAAGTTTAGTGCATCATTTCAGATACACCCTGTATATCATAATTTATACCGATTTAAAAAAAAAAAAAAATTCGGCAGTGTTAATTATGTGATTCTAATTAATAAGCGTTTGGTATAGGTGGAACTTTCTTGAGCTGGCTATCAAACAATAGGTGCGTTCAGGAGACACAACCATTGAGTAGCAATCGAACGTGATTGGTTCTTACTTCTAGAACCAACAAATCAAAGTCGAGTGTTGACAAGACGATGCTCAACAGTTGTATCTCCTGAACGCGCCCATTATAGTAAATAGATCTCAAATCGTAAAATTCAAGTTCTTTTTCTAAAAATGTCGCGATTTTCTTGGGAGTCCCTCAAGAATCTCATTTGGATCGTTTATTATTCAACATATTTATTAACAACATAAAGCAAATATTTACTCACTCTAATTTTTTACTCTATACCGACGACTTACAGATTTTCTGTCGAGTCACTAATTCTGTTGGTACCTCTTACCTACAGCAAAATCTTCTTAGACTTGATGCCTGGAACTAAGCAAATAATTTAAACTTTAATCCATCCAAATGTCATGTGGTTCATTTTAGTGGAAAAGAGATAGCTATGCATATTTACATTTGCATATTTATGTTCTTAGCGGAACTCTTCTCTCTGTTGTTGAATAGAGATTCGGGATCTTGGGGTAATATTTTGCAATGATCTTTCTCTTTTGAGAAACACAGACGTAGTGTATCCAAAAGTTCGCGCACTTTAGTGATAAAATTTCTATTTTTAATTATTTGGGCACAGCAATTTTATCTTCCTCAAAATACTCCTCCTTCGTCGTTATGAACCTGTGCCAACACGATTTCCATTGCTGGAAGCAGTGCTGCATGTCCGCATTATATAGGCTCTTCAGGAACCTCGTCGACTCGTTTGATAGTCTCCACGTTTCCGAAATATTCACCCCACGTGATCATTTTAATTTTTGGAAATAAAGAAAAGTTTCACGGGGCTAAATCGGGCGAATAGGGAGAGTGATCCATGACGGTGATGTTGTTTCGACTGATAAACTCGCGCACAATGAGCGCCGTGTGCGAAGGCGCGTTGTCCTGGTGCAAGATCCAGCGATTCCCCCCAGCTTCATAGCAGATTTCTGATAGATTGTACACAACATTTCATGAATTTCTAACCCGTTCTTTCCGAGTTTAACAAGGAATTTCACGTTTGTTCTTTACTCTTTTAAATTGCTGTTATTCATCTTTGCAAAATCCCGGCGGCGCGCAAAAACTATGTTTAAGAAAACTGTCACTATAAATCAAGTTTGAGTTTTTACAATTTGTACTGAAGGTCGAATGAGGTTTCCCGCTACATGAAGATGTATCGAAAACACCAAGTGTTACTAGCGTTGCCAAAAAAAAATCAGTGCACGAACTTTTTGAAGATACACGCAAATCTCATTACGGGCTCTGCGTTCAAGAGATTTGTAAACCGACCGTGTAAATTTTTTAAAAATATAAATGGTTGAAATATTATTGTATTGCACCCTTGTGAGACCGCAATTAGAATATGCCTCAATCATCTGGGCTCCTTTTTATGCAAATCAATGTATTCTACTTGAGAGAATTCAATACCGTTTCTTTTGCCGTGTTAGCTTTAACTTATTTAAACTGATGAACTTTTTTGATCACAATTATGATTGCTTATTAAAAGATCTAAATCTGTTAACGTTAAAAAATCGCCGAGTTTTGTTGGATTTGGTATTTGTGTATAAATGAGTTAATGACACTCATGATTTTCTGGAGCACATCAATCTATGTGTTCCTGGTAAAACGCTTAAGAATAATCAATTATTCTTTGTTGAACCTCATCGCACTTTCCATGGAAAATATAAGCCACTCAACCGTATGTGCTCGCTGGTAAATGATTTTTCAGCATATATTGACCTTCTTTCAAGCGAATCCAAATTCAATTAAAAGAATTCTTTCTCGGTATTTAGTATAATATCATTTGGATATTATTATCTTATTTAATAGCTCTTAAGTTGTGATTTGCTGTTGTTCTTTTTCGCCCGATTTATATTAATCTGATGTCTATTCTTATTAACTGTCTGTACTGGAGGGTTATTCCTGTTCAAAATGGATTCAATAAATAAATAAATAAATAAATAATCATATTTCAAATACACATACATAAATGTTTTTGTAAAATACACAATTGTATTACATATGCATTATTAAATATAATAATTCTAATGTTACATTATACAGGATGAGTCTTTTTAATCTTAACAGGCAAATATCTCAAAACCTGTAAGTTTTAGAAGGAAACTTTTTAGACAAAAGTTGTTTGGTTCTGAGGGGAAAAGGAGATAGGAATATTAGTTAGACCTTGGATGGCATTGCTAAGATCATATCAAGGTCATATCAAGGTTGAATTTTTTAAATTGGAACCTCTATTTTTTATTGCATATTCTTATAGCCCTTGTCGAGACCTTTTCAAAAGACTATAATAAAGTATGTTTTCATTAAGTATTTTTTGAATTATTTTATATCTTAATCTGACATATTTTGATATAAAAAATAAAATATCTCGTAAAATATTTAGTTTTTGATAATCTTACCGTAATACTTTTATGATATTTTATTTTTTATATCAAAATATGTCAGATTAAAATATAAAATAACTCAAAAAGTACTTAATGAAAAAATACTTTATTATAGTATTTTGGAAAGCTCTCGAACTAAGCCATAAGAATATGTAATGGAAAATGGAGGTTTCCATTTAAGAAATTAAAGGTGACCTTCACGTGACCTTCAAACAACTATCCAAGGTCAAATCAAGATCACCGTTGTACATCCCCCTGTAAACCATACAACTTTTATTTTGAAAAGTTTTTTTGTAAAATTGCATATTTTCGAAATATTTGCCTGTTAAGATTAAAAAGACTTACTCTGTATATACAGGGTGTCCAACAAGTAAGTGACCAATCGAAAGGTGCAGGTAGATTGGGTCAAACTGAAAAGAAAAGTACTGTACCATTTTTTTATATAACGCTTAATAAAGAGGTTATTATTGAGTAAAGTCTGGCCAATTAGCACCGACCTTTAGCTGTCGCACGTCGGTGAGCCGCGCGCCTGGTAGTGTGCGTAAGCGCTTCGCCGCTACGGCGGCGCACACTACCAGGCGCGCGGCTAAAGGTCGATGCTGATTGGTCAGACTTTACTCAATAATAACTCCTTTATTAAGCGTTATAAAAAAAATGGTTCAGGACTTTTCAATTCACAATCAGTTTGATCCAATCTACCATCTTTCGGTTGGTCACTATTCTCAAATTAAATTCTTCAAATTTTTGCTTAAAATGACCGATACAATCACCTCCCAGAATATTGACCTTTCCTCCTGGAACATCCTGTATATGGATAATTTTTCTCCACTTCAAATTTTATTTAAAAAAGCACAATGCAAAAATTTATCTTATAATTATTTTTTATTTTTTTTCTTATTTTTGCCCTGTATATTGACAGTAAATACAATCATCAGAGAAGTGCAATTTTCTAAAACTACCAAGAAAATACGTAGGACTTTCTATCCTGATCTCGTACATATAATATTTAAGACAAAGACAAGATCATTTGGCCACACAAAAATATTTGATTAGAGTTGGAGTATTCCTAGAAGTTACTACATATCGAGTTTTAGAAAACTCTTCTAACTCTTCAATACAACATGGTACTTTATTGTTTCATTAGTTGACGGAAATCTAAGAAATCTAAAGAAAAGAAATGCGCGTCAACATGATGACTTATTATAATAGAAAACTTCAACATTGAAACTTTAGATCGTAATGTCTCATTGTTCATAGTACATGTAGAGCAATAATAAGGATACTTTTTAGGCATAATTAGATTTTAAGCTTATTAAGAACTTTATTGATTCAACCGTTATTAAGATCTGATAATATGACCACGTTTACACCCAGCGACCTGATCGCGGCCTGACCTATACCGTGACCCAAAGTAGGTCTAGTCATTAACCGTTTACACCGAAAGAGACCTAAGAATTGACAGGGTCGCATTTAGTCCACGCTAGTCCAATTCCCCGGTTTAACCTTGACAGCTATCATTTGATTTGACAGTTCAACAAAACAAGCGAGCAAATAAGCTTTTAGATCGCATTGCGATTGATCGCGCGTTTACACCGAAAAAGCAGGCGGCCTATTTCAGGTCAGGTCACTAAAATACGAAGCCTGACCTGAAGCCAGGTCGAGTCGCCTGTTAAGTGTTTACAGCAGGCGGCCTAAATAATTTAGGTCGAATTTGAGATATTGGCCGCGGCCTAAATGCTAGGTGTAAATGTGGTCAATCTAACAATAAGGTACTCTACTGGCTGGTTCGTGTATAGATGTCCGTTTTGCTATTGCTGCGTGACTTATAGTAATGCGAGAACCATGTTTCTTGATTTGAGATAACATACATCAATATGTTATGCTGTATATTATTTTAGGTAAAATTAAGTAGCAGAAATGATATATCGCGTACTGCTAGTATCACTCTATGCTGGATCAGTGGGAACACCTTGGCTGTACTCACAGGAGAACTCGCAATCCGATGTTGGGATCTTCATACAGGTGACACATACGTTCTCTCGCCTCCAGATTCATCTAACGGAAATATTGCCACTCCTCAGGAAATGTGTACCAGTTTGGCGTTTTGCAAAAACAATGGTAAGAACTACAATTAAACAATATGTTTCTAAAATTTTAAGTCAGGTCTATTCGAATTAATTTTTCTATATAAGAGTGTTTAACCAACACCCACAATCAATTATAGTGTTGCACAATTACTCGCCTTATATTATTATTATTATTTTCATCCAAGCGAGTTTGAAAACAATTAGCTGAATTATATCTCGCATTTCTTAGATACTTTGGCTGTCGGTACCAATTTAGGAACAATCTATTTATGGAAACGGAAATCTTCCCCCGACAATGATGAGAATGCCTGGCCGAGCATGCCGGAATCTTGCACGATTCATGGAACAGTAAAGCAATTGACGTGGGGCATGAGTTTATCACGGAATTTCCTTCTGGCTGTCAACTGCATCACTAATGTATTTATCTTGCGTCAACAGCCGATGTGCGCTGTATATAATAATGGCATTTGCGCGAGTCAGCTCACACCTACACAGATTCTGCTCGAGATTGACGAACAGAGCTATACGCTAAAGACGGAGATTCAAGTGCAAGTCATTGCCGTTACAAAAGAGTATGTCGCCGTTTCTTCCGGTAGACAAATTATTGTCAATCGCATTAACAAAAGTATCAATCTCAACACGACTGTATTGGCGACCTTCACTTGTGATACCGAAAAGATGCTCATTTACGAGCATACATTGATTGTGTTGACTCCAATAATCATTCAGCTGCGATCTGTAGAAGGTTCCGTCATTCAGACACTGCCATCTTTACCAGAAGAGGGCGAACCGATCACAATGGAGTTAACAGGTAAACATTTTTAAATAAAACAATATATATCAATCTTTTTATCTAAAAATCTTTTATATATATATAGTATATATAGAAAGATATTTGTATATCTTATTCATATTATAAATAATATTATTTATGTAATTATTTGTAGGACAGTATTTGACCGTTGCATCATTGAATGGTATCCTAAAAATATGGGATCTGGGCAAGCATGAGGCTAAACTACATACTCGAGCTATGGCGACATATGAGGCAATAAGCGACTTTGCCGAAATTATTGAGGCAAGATGTAATTCGGATTGCCGTTGTGTCTCGATCACTGTCGCAATGGCGAATCTTATGCCTAGTTCGATTTTATATGTTTGGGATATTGAAAGCGACCAAGTCCACGAGTTCGATTTCGGAGAGTCAAACGACATTATTGATGACGATTCCACGTTGTGAGTAAAAAAAAAACAGAAGGAATTGAATGACAACTATATATGAAATTACAGATTAGATTATAGATAGTATTAATTATATTTTTTTATCAATCAATTATGTATATTTATAATATAGAGGAAACATGCAAAAATTGATACTAATCGGTACTAATTTGTTTTAGATTCCAGCATTTAGTTGAAAGATAAAATTTATACTCGAAGATATTTACTATAAATTACGCTCACTCAGATTGCATCATAGTTTTGATAATTCTGTTCCAAATTTTTTTCGCCGAATTTTAATAACTTTATATATCGTCAATGTATCGTTAAACTTGCCTTGACAATGACTATTAATACATAAATATATTAAAATTATATATATATGTATATATATATGTATACACAGGGTGTCTTAGACCACCCATACACCCCTTTTCTTTCAAAAACTAAGCATTTTAGAGAAAAACGTTTTGAACAAAAATTGTATGGTTTTGAGGGGAACATAGATGGTGTCATTGATTTGACCTTGGATGGCATCGTTAAGGTCAAGTCAAGAAGTATTTTTTTATTAAGTACTTTTTGAGTTATTTTATATTTTAATCTGACATATTTTGATAGAAAAAGTAAAATATCTCGTAAAATATTTAGTTTTCGGATAATCTTACCGTAATATTTTATGTACAGAATAATGAGACAAATCAATTAGTATAAAAAAATAATTGTTTTTAAGAAAAAGTATGTAACAGTATTTACAATGTATTTTTTTAAACAATTATTTGTCTTTTTTACACTAATTGATTTGTTTTATTATTTTGTACATAAAAGTATTACGGTAAGATTATAGAAAACTAAATATTTTACGAGATATTTTATTTTGCCGCATACTACCAGGCGCGCGGCTCACCGACGTGCGCCTGGCTAAAGGTTGGCGCTGATTGACCAGACTTTACTCAATAATAACTCCTTTATTAAGCGTTATAAAAAAAATGATAGAGGACTTTTCGACTCAGTTTGGTCCGCTCTATCTGCACCAGTAATGCCAGAAACTGACTCCGGTAGCATGCGGTAGCATATGGAGGGGATAACACAACAATAGAAAACAACATTCATGTGAAACATGTACGTGGTTTTCGATTGTGTGTGTATCCCTTCCACTTCCACATGCTACCTCATGCTACCAGAGTCAGTTTCTGGCATCACTGATCTGCACACGAGTATTGTCCCAAATGATCTGAGATACCCTGTATATTGTGTGTGTGTGCGTGTGCGAGCGCGTACGTTTGTGTGTGTATTCCTAAACAATTCAAAATATTTTATATTATTGAAGAAGTTATATGTAGTGTATCAAGAATAACTTTTTTTTTCAATACAGAGAATATTGTATCTCTTTATATATACATGTATAGGGTGTCCCAAAGCACCCTAGACAACGCTCGTGAGCGCTCGTAGAGCACAGTAAACTGAACAGAAAAGTCATTTTGCAATTTTCGCAATAATTATTGAAATATTAATAAAAAAAGAACGGCGAATGAGCACGCGTTTCGCACAGCTAGACCGTGGGATGTACGCTCTAGGGCGTACCAGTGGCAAGCTTCGCAGTATCGCACGGCAACGAAAAGTCGGGGTACGCGCAAGGCCAAACTTTTTGTTGCCGTGCGATACTGCGAAACTCGCCACTGGCACGCCCTAGAGCGTACGTCCCACGGTCTAGCCGCGCGAAACGCGTGCTCATTCGCGAATCCATTTTAATTAATATTTCAATAATTATTGCGAAAATTGCAAAATGGTAAAGGACTTTTCTGTTCAGTTTACTGTACTCTACCTGCTCACAAGCGTTGTCTAGGGTGCTTTGGGACACCCTGTATATATGCCCCTTAAAACTATTCACACACACAACTTTTGTCTGAATAATTTTTTTATAAAACTCATTTTTTGCTTTCTCATACAGGAAGCTTTGTTTTTATTACAAAATTTTTTTCCAATTTTTTATGCCAATGTGTTCTGAATGTTCCAGAACGTCGAAAAATCACATTTTTTGAAAATGTCCGTATGTATGTATGTATGTGTGTATGTATGTACCGATTGACCGAAAATTTAAATGTTTATAATTCAAGAACTGCTTGAGCTACAGCGCTGCAATTTGGCACATAAATAAAGTAGTATAACACTTTTATTTACTATCATTTTTATAAAAATTCATACGGTTTTTTAGATTTTAAGGCAGTTTCAATTTTTCAAAAAATGTCTGTGCAAGTTCTAACTTCCGCAAATTTCGAAGTATTGGGCTAAATTTTTCTAAATGAATAGAATATTATTAAAAAATAGTTGGTATTGAATTTGGTGAGAATTGGTGACAGGGTTTATTTTTTATGAAATTTTGAATTTCAATTCTAAATTTTTTTAAAATGTAAATTTTCGAATTTAAAAAAAAAGATGTTTTGTGATATCCTAGGTGGGATTTGCCAAAATTGGAAATATTAGAAACTTATACATTGCTTCTTTACCTTTTTATTTCGCTCAAAAAGCTTCCTCTATATGAGGATGCCAAAATTGAAAAACCCGCTTGCTCTGAACAGGAGCTTTGTGAGAGAAATGAAATAATGAGGAAGCAATGTGTAAGTTTATAATTTGCACGATTTTCATCTTGTTTTAGTTATTTTGATATAACTTTTAAAATTAAACGCCACATATATACTATTTAGAATGTAATATACATTTATTTATGTAAGATGTTGTATTAATTATGTAGATTATATATTTTAATAATATGATATTATATACATGTATTAATATATAAAGACACAAAAATTTAACATGAAAAAATTTATCTTTTTTTTTTAGAGTTACACAATGCAGAGGAAGGTTGGTTACGGCACATTGCTGGGATATGGAGGATCCCAGATTACTGGTATGTCGAGCTCAAAGATTGGATAGCCGTGATTCTAAGAGCTATTATAAGGGCGGAGATAAGGTAATATTCATTTAAAAAAAAAATAACTAAAAGGCGCCAAGACCACGCAACCATCCAAAAAAATTATTGTACAAAAAGTTTGAAAGAAAAGGGGTGTACGGGTGGTCTAGGACACCCTGTATTTTAATATACAAGGATGATCTGATTTGGAAAACAATATCGTATTCAGCATAAAAAAGATTACGGGAAACGGTTAGTCTTTTCCTTGTATTCGAAAAAAGACTGTTTTTTGTTGAACTGTGTTTATTGTGCTCTATGAAATGTAACATAGGTTTTTTTTATATTACATGTTACATTTATAAATGGAAAATTAAATAATCGGTGACTTACCAGTAACACTTATGCAATAATACCTCTAATATTCAATTTTGTTCCACTTATATAACTTTATTAATATTATATACATATATAATTAATCTTCACTTGGGCGTGTTTTTTTCTTTATTGTATTTTTGCGGCCACGTCGTGACGGCAGGCTATGCTTAATTTTTACTGTGTTTTTATTGCGAATACTTAACATGATATGTGATATTTTCATCGTGTTTTTACTATATATTTGGGACACCAGATCATGCTTGATTTCTGCTATCTTTTTACCGTCAATATCTGATACGGCAAACCCTACTCGATATCTGCTATATATTTACTGAAAATAATAGCAGGCAATGCTCGATTTGTGTTGCATTTCTACTATCATACTCTATCACTAAGCCGTGTTGTCAAAAACTGAGCTTAATGAGGATACAGCATACTGGAAGCTGCCTAAAAAATCTGCCGCAAAATCATGATTGAATTTGTTGGTATATTGCTGGTAGCATTTTAATATCGGAGATGTATGCATAGAACTAAAGCAACTATGAGATTATGTATGAATATGTTCGCGCAATATTTTTGTTCTGTATATATGCCATTAAAATCTAAATAGATATTGAAAAAAAAATTACGAATAGAAGTTACGTTCGATCACGAATTGAACTTAGGAAGATTGAACTACATATATCTAATATCGAACATTAAACATATTATTTTTTAAACAAAATATTACAATATATTAATTATACAGAGTGTCCCACCAAAAGTGGCTATTCCCTTTTATCTTTTAAATTAAAAGAGATAGACCATAACAAATATATATCAAATTAAATGGTTAAAACTGAACTCTATTGTGAGCATAGTGGTTGCTTCCAAAAGCTATGTGTTAACGAACGGAATAGTATGTATAATTTTTTTATAACAATATGGATATTTCGATACAATAAAAATTGTAGCGCTGTTTGAAATGAATACAACAATATATGATATAATGTAAATATTTTACATATACGAGTTTTATCGACTTGAAATATCGCGAGCGACGTCTACCTTTTCACTTTCTGCCCTGCGTTATGGCCAACTTCTGACTCATGCATTAGAGATTGACCATAGACATAGAAATATAGGGACCGAGCATATTATTGCGGGGGGGGGGGAAGCCACTGCGGGACGATGCGACGAGGTAAATTGTGCCTAAATTTGATTGGCTGTTATATCGCGCAAGTTCACGTCATTAATACTCGTGTCGTTGGCGGCTGCGAAAGACTGGTCATGCATGTGTTCATTTAAATCATTAAACAAATCAATATGTATAAATTGCTTTAAAACCTGATTTGTTAGATAATCTGCATTAAATTTTTGTTTTATAAATCTTTCGCTTTCATAAATAGCACAACGAATTCCTGTTTCACATTTGCGAGCAATCTTTATAACTTCCTCGGAAGGTTGTATCAATCCTCCGCGATTTTTTCTATTTATTAAATTATTTTTTTTCTTTTTTTGCTGTTAATACGTTTAAACAATTTTCGCAAAGCAAATTTTTTTTTAATTGTTTTATAATATACCCAGCAATGTATTCAATAATATTATTAGAAAATTCTGTTATTTCTCTAATATCAGAAATATAATAATGGTCGTTTAATAATGATAAACTATTATAATTTTTATTAACATCACAATTTTCAAATTCATCACATAATCTTGATAATCTACTGGTGGAATTTATAATATCTTGTGATTGTTGGATTTTACCAGCTAAAATGAAACGTGTAAAATTGATATTTCCTCTAAAGATATACGTGTTGGTACTACGTATATCTGCATGGACCAAAATTTTTTTATGGCTGCTTTAAAATGCTTTAAATAAATATTCATAATCAGAATATGTCACCTATATTTAATTATATATATATTATATTTATAAATATATGTTTCTGATAATATATTCATTTATATAGGGGACTACTCTATTAACGATTATTTTTTTCAATTAAAATAAAAAATTTTGTGAATGTTAAATATCAAATATTATTTTACTTAATTATGCACTAATTATAATTTATATACTCTATTTGTCTCTCCTTCTCCCGTTTTCTTTCTTCTTTCTCCTTGTCTTTTTCTTTTGCCTATTATTTAAATAAAATTGAGTAAATAAATATTCATAATCAAAATATGTCAGTTATATTTAATTATATACAGGGTGTCCGGTAAAGATTGTGCCAACGCTCGTGAGCGGGTAGAGCACAGTAAACTGAACAGAAAAGTCCTGTAACATTTTTTTCTATAACGTTTAATAAAGAAGTTATTATTAAGTAAAGTCTAGTCAATCAGCGCAGTAATAACTCCTTTATTAAGCGTTATAGAAAAAGATGTTACAGGACTTTTTTGTTCAGTTTACTGTGCTCTACCCGCTCACGAGCGTTGGCACAATCTTTACCGGACGCCCTGTACATTATGTTTATAAATATACAGTCCCGCAACGTGATGTCCACACTGAAATTGTGTATTCACTTCTGCTCTTTGAATTATTGATGTTGTAGAACGCAAAAGAAGTTCCGCATCATTACGTATATTATTACAAGCGTCTATTATTTTATTTAATAATTGCTGCCGATTGACTGGCTTATCCGCATAGACTAGAGATTTCATGTGCCCCCACAAAAATTAATCCAGAGGAGATAGATCGGGAGATCTTGCAGGCCAATTTATTGGATCTCCCCGGCCAATCCAGCGCTCAGGAATTTTTTTATTTAGATATCTCGTAACAATTCTGCTAAAGTGAGGTGGTGCTCCATCTTGTTGAAACCACATTTGTGTTCTGATGTAAAAAGGCAGATCTTCAAGAAGTTCGGGCAACTGTTCTTCTAATAAATGCAAGTATTGTTCAGCCTTGTGTGGCAAGTGTGGAAAACAATGAATTATGTCGAGTATGAAGTTGCCGCATGAGCTAAAGCGAATGCGGCAACTTCATGCGCGACGTAGTTCGTTGTCTTCCGCACATGCCATACATACAATATTTTTTGTAATGCCTGTTATTTCCGCACTACTAGTGCGGTAAGGTAAGTCATAAAGGTGTTTTTCTCGCATTAGTGTGAGAAATAACTAACTCTTTTGCATTTTTTCACTATAACTTCGAAACAAGCGACTTTAGGGCATATGGGTATTAAGACTTTTTGACTTAGAATGACAAAGAATACACAGTTTCAGTGTGGACATCACGTTGCGGGACACCCTGTATATTTCTGATAATATATTTATATATTATAGAACTATTCTATTAACGATTTATCTTTTTTCCATTGAAATGAAAAAAATTATGGATGTTAAATATTAATTAATTCTGCACTAATTATAATTTATATATACAGGGTGTCCCAGACCACCCGTACACCCCTTTTAAAATGAAAATAAATGGCTTTTATCACAAACGGCCACTCAAACTTTCAAAATTCGCATGACAGTTTGACAATCGCAAAAGATACGAGCATCACTGCCCTTGCGTAATATAATAGCCAATCAAATTTAGGCACAATTTACCTCGTCGCACCGTCCCGCAATGGCTTCACTCCCCTCACCTAAACCACGAGTGTATGCTCGATCTCTATATTTTCTATGTCTACGAGATTGACATATATCATGTTGTCATTTGATCATAATACTTAATCCGAAGTTGGCCATATCGCAGGGCCGGAAATGAAAAGGTAGACGTCGCCCGCGATATTTTAAGTTGATAAAACTCGTATAATGTGTAAAATATTTACATTATATCATACATCATTGTATTCGTTTCAAACAGCGCTACAACTTTTATCATATCGAAATATTCACATTATTATAAAAAAATTATGCATACCTCTCCGTTCGTTAACACAGATAGCTTTTGAAACCAACTATTATGCTCACAATAAAGTTCAGTTTGAACCATTTAACTTGATATACAGGGTGAGTTTTTTAACTTGAAACTGTAAAATATCTCGGAAAGTAAGCTTTATCGAAAAAAATGTTTCAAACAAAAGTTGTAGGGTTCGGAGGGGCCACATGATAAAAATATGGATTTGACCTTGAGTGACCTTTTCAAGGTGAGATCAATGTGATCGACAATTTCTTAAATGGAATCCCCCTTTTTTTACTACATATTCTTGTAGCTTATCTCGAGAGCTTTTCAAAACACTATAATAAAGTATTTTTCATTAAAGTACTTTTTGAGTTATTTTATATTTAATCTGACA